AGAGACCAGAGGGAGACCAGAGGGAGACCAGAGAGAGACCAGAGAGAGACCAGAGAGAGACCAGAGAGAGACCAGGAGAGACCAGGAGAGACCAGAGGGAGACCAGAGAGAGACCAGAAAGAGACCAGAGAGAGACCAGAGGGAGACCAGAGAGAGACCAGAGAGAGAGACCAGGAGAGACCAGAGAGAGAGACCAGAGAGAGACCAGAGAGAGACCAGAGAGAGACCAGAGAGAGAGACCAGAGAGAGACCAGAGAGAGACCAGAGAGAGAGACCAGAGAGAGACCAGAGAGAGACCAGAGAGAGACCAGAGAGAGAGACCAGAGAGAGACCAGAGAGAGACCAGCGAGAGAGACCAGAGAGAGACCAGAGAGAGACCAGAGAGAGAGACCAGAGAGAGACCAGAGAGAGAGACCAGAGAGAGAGACCAGAGAGAGACCAGAGAGAGACCAGAGAGAGAGACCAGAGAGAGACCAGAGAGAGACCAGAGAGAGAGACCAGAGAGAGACCAGAGAGAGACCAGAGAGAGAGACCAGAGAGAGACCAGAGAGAGACCAGAGGGAGACCAGAGAGAGACCAGAGAGAGAGACCAGAGAGAGACCAGAGAGAGAGACCAGAGAGAGACCAGAGAGAGAGACCAGAGAGAGACCAGAGAGAGAGACCAGAGAGAGACCAGCGAGAGAGACCAGAGAGAGACCAGAGAGAGACCAGAGAGAGACCAGAGAGAGAGAGACCAGAGACCAGAGACCAGAGAGAGACCAGAGAGAGAGACCAGGAGAGACCAGAGAGAGACCAGAGGGAGACCAGAGAGAGACCAGAGAGAGAGACCAGAGAGAGACCAGAGAGAGACCAGAGAGAGAGACCAGAGAGAGACCAGAGAGAGACCAGAGAGAGAGAGACCAGAGAGAGACCAGAGAGAGAGACCAGAGAGAGAGACCAGAGAGAGACCAGAGAGAGACCAGAGAGAGAGACCAGAGAGAGACCAGAGAGAGACCAGAGAGAGAGACCAGAGAGAGACCAGAGAGAGACCAGCGAGAGAGACCAGAGAGAGACCAGAGAGAGACCAGAGGGAGACCAGAGAGAGACCAGAGAGAGAGACCAGAGAGAGACCAGAGAGAGAGACCAGAGAGAGACCAGAGAGAGAGACCAGAGAGAGACCAGAGAGAGAGACCAGAGAGAGACCAGCGAGAGAGACCCAGAGAGAGACCAGAGAGAGACCAGAGAGAGACCAGAGAGAGACCAGAGAGAGACCAGAGAGAGAGAGACCAGAGACCAGAGACCAGAGAGAGACCAGAGAGAGACCAGAGAGAGACCAGAGAGAGAGAGACCAGAGACCAGAGACCAGAGAGAGACCAGGAGAGACCAGAGAGAGACCAGAGGGAGACCAGAGAGAGACCAGAGAGAGAGACCAGAGAGAGAGACCAGGAGAGACCAGAGAGAGACCAGAGGGAGACCAGAGAGAGACCAGAGAGAGACCAGAAAGAGAGACCAGGAGAGACCAGAGAGAGACCAGAGGGAGACCAGAGAGAGACCAGAGGGAGACCAGAGAGAGACCAGAGAGAGAGACCAGGAGAGACCA